TGTTATCTATTGTAAAAATGCCATATATAATACATATAACATACAAAATATGTAATTGTTATGTTATTTATTGTGAGAATATGGTATATAATACATATACAAAATATGTATTAATTGACTGTTTATGTCTTCCAGTCACAATAGGCTATTGATGGTTAAGTTTTGGGGGAGTTGAAAGTCATATGCAGATTTTCAACTGCTCAGGGGGTCATCATCCCTAATCCCTGCATGGTTCAAGGATCAACTATACAGAAATGATCTTTAACCCTAGTACTTCTGGCTTTAAAGTCTGCTTTGCCTGTGAAAAATATATAACTATTCCAACTTCTGATTAGCATTTGCTTGGCATATCTTTTTCCATCCTTTACTTTCAACCTTTCTATGTCTTTAAGTTTTAGGTGAGTCTCTTATAGACAGCATATAGCTGGATCTTGTTCACTTATTTATTTGACTAGTAAGTTTTATCCATTTATATTTAATGTGATGTTTTTAATGAAACTTGGGGTGCAAAAATACATTAACCACAATCTCTGGGATTAACACACTGTCATCACTGGGTATATTCATGGCCTTAATTTTATTTTGTTTTTTGATATTATGAACACCTGTAAACCTGTTGTTCAATTAGAGAACAAAAGCAGTAACAATGACTTACAACTACCTATATGCTTCTCCCCATCTTCTTCCATCTGAAGTAACCACTAATCTCAATCTTGAGTTTATTATTCTTTTGCTTCTTAAAAATTTTTATCAAATTTTTATCACACTTTTTTTAAGTTATTATGAAAAATTTCTGAGGTTTATATTTTTTACCCAACATCCTGTTATTATGATTCAGCTAGATTATTACATCTGGTTATAGTTCATTCTTTTTTTTTTTTTTAAAGATTTATTTATTTGAGAGAGCGAGCATGCACACACAGAGGGAGAGGGAGAAGCAGATTCCCCATTGAGCAGGGAGCCCGATGCGGGACTCAATCCCAGGACCCTGAGATCATGACCTGAGCAGAAGGCAGATGCTTAACGACTGAGCCACCCAGGTGCCCTGGTTGTGGGTTCATTCTTATTCCTGACTGTATAATACTCTGTTGGGTACCGCTGCCACGGTTTATTTTGTCCATTTTTCTGTCACAGGACTTTGGGTTGTTGCAATTTTTTGCTGTTATGAGCAGCGCTATAATGAACATTCTTGTCCTCTGGTGCTTTGTGGGCAAGAATTTTTCTTTGGAGTGATGACTGGGTCATAAGGTATGTACAAGATAATGCTAAGCAGTTTTCCAAAGTGTTGTTTCAATTTGTGCTCCCACTAGCAACATGTAAGAGAACCTATTGATCTACTGATTACTGATGTTTTAGAATTGATGCCTTCAGTCTCATTTTGCACCTTTTGCTTATTTGCTTTCTCTTAAGTTTTTGTTTACTTCTTTTCTATTAAATTGACCAAGAATTCTTTGTCCCCCTTTCCTTTTAATTTAGAATTGTAAGTTCTATTTCTATTCTTTTAGTGGTTATTTTAGAATTTTCAACATATGCACTTGATCCAACGCCACTACAACTATACAATAAGGTAAGAATGATTCTACTTCAATTATATCCTTCCTCGTACGTGTTACTGTTGCTTGTTATTTGAGACCCCACCTGCTTTTAATACCCCTGAATTTAATCACTGTTGTCACTTTAGTTTTATGCAGTTCTTGTGTAGATTTGCCCATGTTTACCCATTTCTTCACGTTTGTTTCTGGCCTACCATTCCTTTTTTCTAATTACCAGCCCTTTTCCTTGAAACATACCCTTTAGTATCACTTTCAGGGAGGTTATGTGAGTGACCTGCTTTCTCCATTAATATAAAATGGTTTGACTGCTGTAATTAAGGTACAATATGTGTATATATTATGGAGACGATATGTAATGGTGTTGTTCCACCTTTCCTTGGGAATTCAGAACTTTCTGATTCAGACTGCCAAAATTTAATTTTTTAAATATAATTTTTATAAAAGTTAAAAAAATAAAATAAAATAAAATAAAATAAAATGGTTTGACTGCCCTCTCATCCTTGAATGATGATTTCTCTGGGGAGAGAATCTAGACTGAAAGTTTATTTTACCCTCAAGACACATTTTGTTGTTTCTCTATTGTTGAGATGTTTGCTGTCATTCCTTTGTAGGGAATCTGGCTTTTCTTTCTGGTTTTAAGATTTTCTCTTTGTCTTTGGCTCCCTGCGGTCTTACCATGCCGTGTTCAGATGCGAATTTCTTTTTATTTACCTGGTTCAAGATTCATTGTACATCCAAAATCTCAGGGTTGATGTTTTCTTTTTTTTTTTTTTTTAATATTTTATTTATTTGACAGAGAGAGACACAGCAAGAGAGGGAACACAAGCAGGGCGAGAGGGACAGGGAGAGGGAGAAGCAGGCTCTCCACGAAGCAGGGAGCCCGATGTGGGGCTCGATCCCAGGACCCTGGGATCACGACCTGAGCCGAAGGCAGACGCTTAACCATCTGAGCCACCCAGGCGCCCCAGGGTTGATGTTTTCTTATCAAATTTGCAAACGGTCACTGTATAAATCCTGCGTCCCCTACATTCTCTCTCTGTTCTCCTTCTGGTACCTGTACTAGGTATATAATGGACCATCTCTTTCTAGGCAACATACCCTGAACCTTTCTCTCAGACTTTCCTTCGCTTTGTCTCTCTGTGATGCTTCCTGGGCAATTTCTTCAGTTTTTTTCTTCAGCGATGGTTCATCTGCTGTGTAACTCACCCACTGAGCTTTTCATTTCAGTGGCTATATATGTCATTTCCAGAGGTTCTACTTAGTTCTTTCAAATCTACCTTTTTAAAATACTGTTATTTTCTCATGGTCCAAATGTTCTTTTATGTCTTTCATAATTTTAAACTTATGTACTTTATAAGTCTGATAGTTCTGTTTCCTGAGGTTCTTGGGACACTTGTATCTATTCCATTTTCATTATGGTGGATTACATCCATGTATATTTTGTCGTTTGGAGTAGGGTCTGTATCTTTATCTTTGCTTTTCAGTTTTGGGGTTCCTGATTCCTGGATCGTACAGATAGGGTAAATTCCAGCCCCAAATTTACATGAAGGCTGGGCTATAGTCCCAAATTCTCAGTGAAGACTTCTTTCTCCACTTTCAAGTCATGACAAGACAGTGAAATTTTCTTATCTTCCTGTGCCCCCAGGGAGATTTTTTTCCCAGTGAATTATTTCTAAAACGATTCATCCTTTTGAGGGTTCCAGTTTAAAGTGGGGATCTCAGTACCACCTTCTCACTTTGAATGGGCCCAAGCCACAGTCTCCTTCCTGTGTGGATTTGCCCAAGACCAGCTCCATCTCCGCTTACTTGCTCACGATACTAACTGCCATTTCCCTCTTGCTTCTGGCACCGGGGGCCTGTCCTTACTGTCTCATGAGCTCATTGCAGTGGGTGTTTATTGCATTTTGACCAGTGTTTAGAGATGGGCTATAGTGGGAGGATGATTAAAATTATTTCATCTGCCATATTGCCAGAAATGGAATTCACTTCCATTTCAAATGTTTAATGTCTTCCATTGCAAATGCATTTTTTCTTAGAGTACTGTGGCACCTAAGATTTCTGAGTAATTTCTCTTCTGAATAATCTTTTTTTTAATTTTTATTTTAAATTGAAGTATAGTTGAACTTGTGAACAATTTTTTATGGGTGAGGTGGCATTGGCATTATCTCAAATGAGGCAAACATAGGTCAGTGCAGCTATCCATTCTAATCACCTGGAAACTTGAAAAAGCACAGATGCTTGGCTCCATCCACAAGATTCTGATTTAATTGGTTGGGAGACCACCTGGGCAGGGGTCTTTTTTAAAACTTCCCAAGTGATTCTAATGTGCAACCAAGGCTAAACACAATTATTTAAAACATACTGATGAAAACGAGCAAGCCATAATGATCCCTGGGCTCTCCCCCAGAATGTCGGATTTATTTTGCCTGGGGAGGGGCCCCAGGCATCATATTTTTCTGACATTTCCCTGATGATTGCAGGCTTGAGCACCATTGATTTTCCTGGGTACATGCAGTCAGACGGAGGCATTCAAATAATGTTTGAGCGGGAAGCATGAGAAGTAATCTAGCTCAGCATATGCATATGCTTAACTGTCCATCTGACTCCCAAGGGCCTTTTAATTATAAAGATTCCTGGAGATTATTGGGGAGACCTGGGTAGCACAGTCGGTTAAACGTCCAGCTCTTGATTTTGGCTCAGGTCATGGTCTCAGGGTCATGAGATCAAGCCCCGCATTGGGCTCTGTGCTGGGCATGTAGCCTGCTTAAGATTCTCTCCCCTTCCCTCTGTCCTTCCCCCCCGCCCCCGCCACATGCACATGAGCACACGTGCATGCGTGTGCACTCTCTCTCTCTAAAAAGAAATTTAAAAAAAAGATTCCTGGAGATTATAAGGCCAGTGAGTCTTTCATTCCCCCGAGGACTGTGATGGGCAACTAAGTCTGGAAACCATTTAGCGAACCCATCTTGTTTTACAAAGGAGGAAACCATCCCCGAGAGAAGTGTTTTCTTCACAAAGTCACAGAGCTGATTCAGAGGATGCTGACTCCTACCTTCCAGTCTAATGTCTTTTTCATCCACTTCCAAACATAAAGCCCACTACTGCTTTTAGACGATCTTGGCCATTTTAAAGAGACAGTTTTTGAATTTGTGTGCAGTGACGTCAGGCATGTGGCATTTTCTGTTTTGCTTTGTTTTGCTTTGGCACAGCGGAGAGAAAATAAAACAGCCTGCCACCTGGCACGTAGGGTCATAGTAGCAGCTTGGTGACCTTGAGCTGATCAGCCACCATCCATCTCAACTGCCCCATCTGTAAATAGGGGGTCATGGTGGTTTTAAACTATAACCACAACTTCTTTAATACTCCTCTAAGAAGTGGGCCTGGGGGCGCCTGGGTGGCTCAGTTGGTTAAGTGACTGCCTTCGGCTCAGGCCATGATCCCGGAGTCCCGGGATCGAGTCCCGCATCGGGCTCCCTGCTCGGCGGGGAGTCTGCTTCTCCCTCTGACCCTCCCCCCTCTCTGTTTTTTTTCTCTCTCATTCTCTCTCTCAAATAAATAAATAAAATCTTAAAAAAAAAAGAAGTGGGGCCTGGTTCCCCTCCCCCTGAGTGTCTGCCATCCTTGGTGACTGGTTTCTAATGAACAGCATGAGAGGGAAATGACAGTGGGTGAATTCCAAGGCTAGGTCACACAAGGCATCATGGCTTCCACCTTGCTCTCTCTCTTGGATCACTTGCTCTGGGGGAAACCAGCTGCCATATCATGAAGACGATTAAGTAGCGCAATGGAGAGGCCCACATGGAGAACTGAGGTTTGCTGCCGGCAACGCGATCTTGCCAGGATTGTGAACTAGACACATTGAAGGCAGATCCGCCAGCCCCGGTCACGCCTTCAGATGACTGCTACCCTGGCCTATGCCTTGACTGCAACTTCATGAGAGACTTTGAGCCAGAACCTCCCAACTAAGCCATTCCCAATTCCTGACCCTCAGATACTGTGTGAGATAGTAAAGACTTGTTGTCTGAAGCTACTAAATCGGATAATTTGTTATCCAGAATAGATAACGAATACAGAGATACTTCAAAACGCACTAAAATAGAGCTGCTTACTTTATAGGCTTGCACCAGGATTCATATGCTAACATTTATAGAGCGTTTTAGTTAGACTCTGGCCAAATGAACTGCATATTAGATATAAAGTAGTGATTGTGTATTATTAATGTTATCAGATTGCAACACATTTCATGTTCAGTTACCTAAAATGCTCTTTCTGGGGCATCGCTTTGCTCATCATCTTATCCCCACTGCACACTTATAAAAGGTCACCGTCAAGATATAAAAGTATATATATGATTTAAATGTCTTGACTCAGTGGCTAACAACCGTGAGCATGTTTTCAAATTGGAAAAGCAAGATTAATTTAAACTTGCTCTTTTTCACACAAGGTACTTTATTTTTCAGGATTGCATTTCACTGCCAAGCCAAGTGCCTCTCTGATTAAAGAGTATGTTCGCTTCATCTCTCGTAGTCTCTTACAAGCCTACTCTTAAGAATAGACATGGCAGACTTTGCACCAAAAAAGCAAACCATATTTTTACCAGAAACTATTTAGTGAAATGAGTTTTTAGTCATGAAAATTTCACCAAGTATAAATTTCATGTCTGAAAGTAATGGGCCCTTTGTATTTCCCTTCAATAAATAAATAGCTTCTTTCCTCAAGAATTACAACTTCTGAGCATGCTCTTAAATTCAAAGCTAGTTTGTTTTCTTCCAAGAAAATGAAAATATGCATGTGCATACAGACCCTTCTTTGGTTGGTCCTTCTAGATCTGTGTAAAATGGGAAAGCCAAGATGGTATCTTTCTAACAGTCGTAACTGGAGATATAAAATATCTGGGAAGAACATGAACAAAGGCAGAGGGTGTGAGGCTGAAAGCGAAACTGTATTTTTCAAACACTCTTTACTTATCTAACATATAAATATCTTTATGTGTAATTTACTCCCAACATTGTCTGGTATACTTAGAGACATAAAAGTCTATTTAAACGATGGAGAAAATTTGCTTCGCTTTGTTATTTCTTTCCCAGACCGGAGAGGGAAATGCAAAAAAAAAAGCTCCCTAATTGGGGGAGGGGGGACATATTTAGCCAAAATTTTTCCTTTTTTTCTTTCCATGTTCCCATAGGACACAGCTAGAAATTGAGTGGGGTGGTTGAAGACTTTTGCTCCTTTTTGTCCCCTCTGCCTTCCACGTTCCTTGTTCCAACTCAAAATGATCACACCCAACCAGGGCAAATGCTGCTTACAAGTTTAGCTGAGTGAGAAAAAGTCAGACTCCTAATAAATGTCAACATCTTTTATGGAGTGACCGCAGTGAGGATCCTTCTAGGTGTGGTGGCGGACAGAAGCTAGGACATCTTTATTCTTCAGGAGTTGTAAGAGGTGGTCAGTAGCTTGGGGTTGGGTGTGAGGCTGGCTCCAGCCCCTCTGGGTGGTAGCTCCCTGCAGGGGACACCCTGTGCCATGCTGGTGAGCCCCCTCCCCGACCATGGCTCCCTTAGGTGAGTGTGGGCGTGGCAGGCACAGGAGAGAAGCCTCTGGAATTAAACAGAAAGTTCCTGTTTTCACTGACAATATCCCAGAGCTGCTCTCCTCTGCAGCTGAAAACTGTTTAACTGCCATTTGTCATTCAGTCATCATTATTCTTATACGTGTAGGTAAATATTTTATTAAGCGTCTCCGCTGCTTGGCAGTTAGGGAGCCCTTTGCCTGCTAGACCTGGCGGGCGCCCAGCGCTGCCCAGGGGGGTGGGAGAACAGCGGGCTCCCTGAACCCTCCGTGGTGTTCGTAGAGCGGTGGTCCTTTCCACCTGGAAACCATTTTCTCCTCTGGCCTCTTGGGCATAATCTTCCATTTCTTCTTCTCTTTTTTTAATCAGTTACCAATTTGGTCTTGATGAAAGGTGCCGGGGCCTGCAGGAGAAAATGGCTCTGCCTTTCAACTCCACCTGGAAATGGTTGACTCGGTGCCGCGGTCACCTTCCCTTACACCTCTGCACCCATTTGGGCACTTGCCCCATCCCCACCGCGCTCTGCCTTGCCGAACAGAAACCTCGGTGTCACAGCTGGAAACGTGCGGGGGCCGCTCCACCCAGGCCCCCTCACACACACCGCAGTTATGTCTGGGACCTCCAAACATTCCTCTAGGCTTTCACCGTCTAGCGTCCGAGCCCCATCAGCTTGCCAGGTCGCCAGCAACCAGCTCCCAGCTCGACCCACAAAACCACCCGTTAGTTTGGACAAATGTTGGGTCCACTTCTTGAAAATCCTTAGCTGTTTCCCATTTACCCAGTATTAGAGGTGGCCAAAACAGCAATAGGAAGCATGGCTGTAGGGTCATCCCGTCATATCTCTGGGTCTTCTGGAGGCCAACGGGACCGGATCTGCTTCTGTGTGAGGAATTCCAACTTTGGAGGACCGTGGGTATGACGCCCTCTTCTGGTGGCTCTGGGGAACGCCTTCTTGCGCCCATGCGTTTCAGTTCCCTCTGCTGGCGGAGGAGAGAGAAGCTGCCTCTCGCCTCCTGGCCCCAGATGCCAGAGCTCCCGGGCCCTGCCGTCAAATTGTGAGACCCAAGCGCCACAGATCCTGAGGTTTCCGGAAGTTGAAACCGAGGCCCACGACGATAGCCCCGCACTGCAATTTATACAGTTACCAGTTCCAAGTGGCTGAAAAACAAATGAAGGGAAGGGTAAGAAAGGGAGAAAGCACTGTAACCTCCGAAGGGGGTTCAAATAGGCCGAAATCACATCTATGTAGCTACCCGTGGTATGGACACACAGTGACAGAGGGAAGAAAGGAATCAGAGAAAAGATCAGGAGTGAGGACAATAGAGGACAGACTTTACAGCGAATTGCTGAGTAAGACACTCGTGCTAAAAATAATACCATTTGGAGAGGGCATAAGAAACAAAAGTGTGGCTGTGCCCATGGGTGGGAGGAAGAAGAGGCTCTGCATATAAACACCCAGAATTAGAACAAGATGAAGAAAGGACCATCACCCAAGCGGAGAAGGAATGAACGTAAGAATAATTTGAAGTGAGCCAGGAAATTAATTCTGTCACCATCCTCTTGCTTCTGTGGACCTGGTGATGCTGGAGGCCCCCCAGCAGTGGATGGCCACGCCTCTGGGTTTGAGCAGGCCCCAAGACCCCATCACCCACTCAGCAGATGCCACATAAGAGACGAGGGCGAGCCCCGGCTTTGTATCTTCTAGTCTGGATCACAGATAATCATGAACATTCAAAAAATCAATTGCCCAAGTGGCTGATGGGGAGGTCTGGCTTGACAGAAGGCGTTCACGAGGAAGACCCGGGGGGTTAGCTGATCACAAGCTTGATGTGAACCTACTTCGCAGGGAGGCTGTTGAGAACCCTAATGCAATCTCAGGCTCTATTAATAGAACGGCGGAGTGTGGAAGGAGGGAGGCCGTAATCCCAGTGCGTGCTGGCAGGTCAGGCCACATGCAGCTTTATGCTCAGTCCTGCAGGCTATATTTTAAGAGAGGCACTGGCAAATTCGAGCCTGTTCAGAAGAGCATGAAAAGGACTGGATGCCAGTATGTAGACAGCACCGAGATTAGCTTGACAGTCCTTTTACAACTGGCGAAATCGGAATGTGTATTGCATTGAAGACAGAATCTCAGGAGCTAGGACTGAGAATTGGGCTTTCAGTGTTTACTTAGCCTCCCTGAGCCTGATGGGGTGCCCTTTCCATATAATGGGGATACTGCTCTCCCCCCAACCTACCTGCAAGCATAGTTTGAAGGACAGTCTGCTCAGCGGGGCTTGTATACTGAGCATCTCCTTGCTGCCAACTCCCGGCCGGGCATTAGAGCACCAACAGGAGCTTGGAGTCTAGTCTGTGTTGGAGACACAGGCCCATCAGCAGGCATCTTGCATATAACATGACAGATGATAATAGATACATGCACTGATTTGCAATGAGATGTAATTAATATCTTATCAGGAAAGAATGACAAGAGAGAAAAACAAAGTCTTCAGGGCATATGTACTTGTAAGTGCAAAGGGAAAAAACTGCTGGAGGCCAGAGAGGAGGAGAGTCCATGAGTGAGGAAAGATTAGAACTGGAAAATTTCAGAGTCATGAAAGACTGTTGAAAGGTCTCTACACTGTCAGGCACCACCAAGAAATCCAGGAGGAAGAGGAGAAAAGTTGAAATATTTCCAGACCACTCCCTGGATGTGGAGGTTAGGCGTTTCATCCTTAGTGGTCAAGAAACACCTTTTGGGGAAATGCTGGAGGCAGAGACGGACTTCATTTAGGATGTTTGTGGCAGGATGCATTTATTGGACACCTACTGCACACTTAGCATGGTGCTATGCACTATGGAAGTTGGAAAAGCATAAGATTTTGTTGGAGCCCACTTCAGTAGTGACTGGTGAGTTAAGAGTAACACGTATACATTCATCAGCGAAGAGCAGAAGATTATTACACAAATTGTTCAGCGGGGTAAGGCAGACAGTGGTTTAAATGGCCAGTTGGGGGCGCCTGGGTGGCTCAGTCGGTTAAGCGACTGCCTTCGGCTCAGGTCATGATCCTGGAGTCCCGGGATCGAGTCCC